TTTTATACCAGATCTATCCTATCGCAAGTTTGAAAATATTAAGTGAAACACAAAAATCCTGTACTTCAATGCATGTGTCAACCTAAGAAAACTAAGAAACCTAATTTTGGCCACCCATCATTTTGGGTGGCCAGAATGAATGGAAACGGCCTAGATATAAATAATTCGCAAAGACAGCGAGTTGTGGTTGCACAATGGGCTTCTTATGGGAGTTTCGTACGTTTTCATTGTAAACGGAGTTTACTATAATTATAACGACTACACAAGTTGCCGGTTTCAATACAATACATCCATCGTCATGACAACCGTGCGCAGTGCACAACCTTCGATGAGGGGTAAACGATGCATGGCTTCAAATCGCATCTGACGTAAAGTACGATTATCCAACAGGTCCTAGCGGGAACGTCGTACCAGGGCCTGGCCACTTTTCGCAAAGGCTTACTATGCTGTTTCACTGTGTAAACAAAAGTGTAGCAAGCCCCGGCATCCTTGCATAATACAGATTGCCCGAAACGCAGATGTGTGAACTGCAGCACATCATACCGATGTTGGCCTCTGTTCTAGCAGACTTTGTGGCCTGTAAGTAGTTTTTACTTTTATAGATTAGAAGCAATTAGCTTTTACTTTCACCGATTAGCAGTTAATTTTTAAATTTTTGCTGAAAGAAAATTAATCATACTCTCAATCGGCAGTAACTTACCAACTCCATTATTCTTTGCATGGGATCCACAAAAACCTCGTAGTGTCGCAATATTCGAACACGATTCTACAGAGCAAACTAAACACCAACGCTTCCCATTAAAGATTTTTCGTCGACCGGTATCACGATCTTTAATAATGCGCCGATCCATTTTAACAAAACTTATTGTGTATTTACACAATAACCGCTTGCAGCTTGATGAAAACGGAGGTCACATGTTTTAATAAATAATTGCTACTCGTATTTAAAATTATTCATTCGGCGTAGCTGAAAGAAATCCAATGTTATTCTCGAAGGTAAACTTTCACTTTCTGAGAGATAGCAGTGTATCAGGCGAGTAAGTGCTCATGCAGAAATAATGAAGTCGCCACACAATTCTGCTGCGCTCGTTGCAGAACTTAGTTGGAATCTGGCTGTTTTGTTTCAACTAAACGACCAAACAATGCTCTTTTGTAAGGCGCGCCTTTGTGTTCGAGAGGCACACATTATGCAGGCCCGGGCTTGCTACATGTTTTTATGGCTTTCTTTGCTAGGAGCCTAGTTGAAGGAGCAGAGGCAGTTCTGCCTCCGCTGAGACGACTTGAGCGTAAGCTTTAAAGACTTAGGTCGTACTAAAGTGTGTGCTGAGTACTTATTGAATGCGCCCTTTACTTGTCTATCTATTAAATTTCCAAATCATAATAATGCTCACCAAGGCACTTTTCATCCTGCAGATTCAGACAAATTTCATTTATTTCAAAATGAAAAGCTTACTACCGTGATATGCTTTATATTTGATCTGCAAAGGTCAAAAGAGCGTGCCCGGTGCCCAAACAGAAATGAATACAGACAAATTTCGGCACCCTATCATTTCGGCCATCATTAAATGAAAATGGCCGAAATGAAAATGGCCGAAATGAATGGTGGCCGAAATGAATGGTGGCCGAAATGGGCAGAATGGACACGCAAATTTCAGACAAAAATTAGTACGTACTATACATGCAGTCAGGGGCGGTTGGAGTTTCCCGGTTTGGGGTGGGCTACCAGTATTGGCTTTGGGGTGGGCCAGGCCCATAGACTACTATGTTAAAAAAAAATTTTGGAGGGGGCCACGGCCCCTGGCCTAGGGGTTCCAGCCGCCTATGCATGCAGTACACAGTGTTAAGGGAACTAGGGAAGTGGCCGGTGCATGATACCAAAATTGTATACATACACGAAATTCTTCCCTTTCGCGCACTCCCACGCACTTTTTCATCTTGTTTTATGACATTCTGTAGCAGATGATTTGTGTACACGGGCGTGAAAAACGTTTATGCGCGCAACATCTGGTTCGGGAGCTGTGGCTGTTGGAAATTTCCAAAAAGTTTAAATGCATTCAGGTGTGCCAAAAGGCTCATTATGGACTGATCTCTTCCAGATTTTGCAAGTAAATGCACATAACCCCGAAGAACGTTTTGACACCAATCCACTCTTCTAGCACGTTTTTTCAAATTTTAAAATTTATTTTAATTTTAAAATACATTTTAAAAGAATCATGGAGGTCTGGTATATACAAATCGCCTGGCTAACAGAATGTCATCAACCGAAACAAAAATGTGTCAGGGAGTACGCAAAAGTGAAAGTTTACGTGCATGTGCACTAATTTGGTACCATGTACCTGGTCACTTCCCTTAGCGCAAGTGGCTGCACAAAACCGCCGCTTGCTTAATGGTTTTTTTCTCCTGCACTACCTATCGTACCGTAAGCGATTTAGCTTTCGCTAAACAATTTTACTGACTACTAAAAAAAATTGGCCGTGCTCCTTAACTATGGTGTTAAAGAAATTATGCAAAAATTTATTAAAACTGAAATTTGGTACACAAAAAGCTGTTTGGCTGACTGAACAGCAATTTTCAGATGAGAAAACATAGGAAAATTCGAAATTTGGTTTCTGAAAAATTTTCAAACTTCACCCATTTTGTCAAACCAATTTGCAAAAAAAGAACCCTTGTTTAGGATCGGTTTAAATTAGTTCGGTATGCTCTAGTTTGTAAAAGGTTCGTCAAAACAATTTACGAAAAAACAACCCTTTGTTTAAAATCGGTTTAAATTAAATTTGGTGTGTTACAATCTATAAAAATTGTTCTGTGGAACTGGACTAGCGGGATGTCAGTCAGGCAGTGGACGCGTCATCCGACAGGCATTACGTTAATGATCAGCCAACGACTCCAATGTACATAGTGCGTGTTATTGCGATGCAGTTATTATTGCACTGTATGCCATAACAATATGTCTGCGGGTGGCGGGCACTGCCGATGTCGCGCACCTTCATTGATGTCGAGCCCGAATCGAGAAACCAACACTTGACAGCACAGTTGAAAAATATGAATTCATTACGTATTAAACTTGCTAATTTAGGATAGTACGAGCTAGTGGAATAATCTTATGATGCTTATGCAAATCCTGCACCTAATTCTTGAATAAATGAGGTGCAGCTGATCTCCAGGGTAGTTTTTTACAGTATTCGTACAAATTAAATTCGCTCCGTATTAAGCTGCGTTAGTACAGAACGTGAAACGGCGCATAGGTGAATGCGCATCACTGATAACTGTTGTTTTAAAACAGTATTCCAATTGAAATACTATTTTTTAGTTATTTAACTTTAGAAACTGAAGAAAGTTTGTTTCGAAGAAACCAGCGGCCCCCAAGGGGCCATTCACATTCCAGGAAAGGTAAAAAAAAAACACATCTTATACAATAAATTACTTAACTAGGATTTTCACAATATTTCGTTTTACTGATGAAATTCCATTTCCAAGCAACAATTCCAGTTAAAAGTATTGCAGTTCCAATGAAAACCGTTGCCCCGAGACACTTCCAAAAATTATCGGATGACAATTGTAGGAGGACTGAATTTTTGAAAATTTTAGGGGGGTCTCGCTACGAGGAAAATTGGTGAACAGGTGGCTTATGGAACTGATGTGTTTTTATTCAGTTTCCAGCGGAAACGAAAAAGAATTCATGGCTCAAATGAAAGATTCAAAACTAAAATAATTATTTGTTTCCACGATTCGGAATCAAGGAAGTAGTAAATTCGTCCCTTCGTACTTTTGTGCTGAAGTAGACCGTGGGCAGTTTTTAACTCTGCATTTCGATACGGTATTGCTATTGCTAACTCCAAGAATGGAGACTGGAGTTGGGCAGCCAAGTAACCGGACAGCCGTGCGTTTGGCAATAGCCCTGACGCACTGCTATTGCTATGGCTATGGCCAATGCTGGCGCTTGCCCAAATTCATAGTTACGTGTATTTTGTACAATGTTCATGTTCAAGCGTACGCTGGTGTACAGGTCAATAATAGTGTTGGCCATCCCGGCCCAGGGCCGCGGCCCGAACGGCCCGGGCCGAGGTCAGCCCGGCCCTTTTGGGAGGGCCGCGGCCCTCGGCCCGGGGAGAAGGGCCATGGCCCGGGCCGTGGCCCGTTGTGGACGTTAAATAACGTAGAAAAACCAAAAATTTCATTTAGATTTACTGAAATTTAGTTGTTTTCGATGAGTTTTTCTTGATTTTCATAGCATTAAACGTTTCTAGGCGAAAATCCGTTCATTTTTTCGTTGACATACCCGCTGTAGCCGCTTGCATTATGCCATCCGGGAATGAAATATTACTGTGCTGCAAGACGGCCCGGGCCGCGGCCCGTGGACATGTCGGGCCGCAGACCGGATCGGCCCGCGGCCCGGGCCGTGTAAACGACGGCCCGGCCCTCTTGCTCGGGCCGGGCCGGGCCGGGCCGGGCCGACCCAACACTAGTCAATAAGCAGAGGAATGCGAACAAACTCAATGGAACAAAACTGAGGATACAAGAATACAGTATTGAGTATATTGTACACGGCATATAATATGCCACAAAGGGATAGATGGATTAAACATGTGAAGGAAGATAATCGTAAGCCGTACGATTAAGATACCTATATAATATATTGTATTTTCCTTTTGTACTTCATAGATAATGTTGGGTAGTGATACTGATATTAGTTTTGCTCAGTCTGATCTGCAGAGCAGCCTATCGGTGTGTCAGTCCGAGTGGAAACGTTTTGGTGAATTTTGTCGGTCTACATGGTGAATATTATCTGTTTACAAAAGACTTACCTATCTGTTATCTGTTATCTGTTATCTGTTATCTAGAAGATTATCTGTTATAAATTCTTCATATTATTAATATTGAAAACCACGCAGCGATGGTCGCTTTAAAGTATAGTCTTGCTACATAAGTGGTTAATTTAGCACCAAAACTATTAACTTTGGTACTACGCTCAGTTTAATTTGCTTAATGAACACATATGCAGTTGTACGTCGAAATGGATGTCAAATCTCACACTTTCGGAAAGCGTTGTCGGTACACTTATGAGGACGAGGACTACATTGGCCGGGGTACCTATGGTATTGTTTACAAAGCGGCAATTACAGATCCCGGAGATTTAACCGTCCATGGACCCGCACCCGTGGCAGTCAAAGTCGTCCCGCTACACAAAGATTCGGAAGTACTGGCCAATGTTGAAAGCTGGAACAGCTGGAGAAGTCGAATGGAGTTACTATTGACTTTACAGTGCGATCATCTTATTTGCTACCACCAAGTCAGTGTTGCTAGATCATCAACTTTTGGCGGGGTTTCTGTCAAACTCCTCATGGATTATTATGAAGGTATGTGTGTGTTGTGAAATAGCGGTGCCCAAAATGTTGCTCTTCATAATTACCGTGTATACTGTAGATGGAGACCTAGCGAGTCTCATCAAAACTAAAGCTGTTGAGGATCTACAAACAGCCATTCGCTACGCTTCTGAAATAGCGGATGCAGTTAACCATCTCCACTTGAAGAATATTGTGCATGGCGACATAAAGCCAGGAAATATTCTTATCCACCGGCTAGGCACCAATAACAAATTGTTACTTGGGGATTTAGATGACCTGGTGCAGATGCAGCAAAGTATGACGTGTTCGGGTGACCTTTCCCATATTCGCGGAACTCTTCGATATATGTCGCCTGAAATGCTGAAGAAATATCTTAATCTTGAGCATGAGAAAGTAGGCCGAAAGAGTGATATATGGAGCGTGGGATGTGTTATACTAGAGATGATAGACAGCGCTGTTGGCAATATAAATAAGAGACTGTACCGAACTCCAGACGGAGCACTAAATGCTGACACGATTAAAAAAATCGGTACGCTTCTTTAATTGTGGATGGTTATGCACCATTTATAGCGCTTTCCGTGCCTGTGCAGCTGGCGGAGTGTATTTCTCAGTGTTTAAGCGCTACGACTTCCCGCAGAACCACTTCCAATGAACTTCTGCAAAGCTTAGTAAAATTATGCACTTTTAATGAACGGCGAAACGAGGCTATAGAAAACGCTGCCGTCGGGATTCGTCTTGGACTGGGGAACAGTAGTGTGGTAGTGCACCGGAATGGCCGAACAGAAACGGTTACTGAGCCACACAGCAATGATCCGCTAATTCCGGCATATGTTGCCTTCGACCAGACCGGTAACCAGGAAACAAAAATATTATGCGGTCAAGAAGCAAAGGCTTACCAGGAAGCTGATCCAGAAAACTGCGTATATAACCTAAATTCTCTCCTCGGGCTACAAATTGGGGATATAGAAGCTATTAGCCTCAGAGACGACCTGCCTTATGAAATCAACGAAGACGGAAGTCTAAGGATTAGGATAAAGGAACGCGGAGAAACTGTATGTTATTCAGCTGAAGAGATAACTTCAATGTTTTTGTTGCATTTTCGGCGTCTTGTCGAACGCCTACAAACTTCGAACGGGTGCCCAGTGAAAGTCAACACCGTTGTGATAACCGTTCCGCCATACTTTACTTCCGTGGAGCGGCGGGCCACAGAATTATCTGCAGCTATGGCGGGGATGGAGAGAGTGAAGATCCTTGATGACTCGCTTGCTGCTGTCTTGCCATACATCGAGGATTTTCCCTATCAAGAAAGAAAGGTATTTATACTAGATTCCAGTCAACTGTACACTGCTGCATATATTATGAGTGTCGATAAGTCCGAAGCTAAGCCGGTACATGTTACGCTGTTATCGTCTCATTACTCAAAATTTCTACGAATAAAAGACATTGAAAATCGGATTTCTGGACATGTGATCGACAAATTCAAGAAGATTGACACATTCAGTGAGCCTGCCTCCATAGCGATCGTACAACACTTGCTGCACGCCTGCAAACAGATCACTGGGCATGGTAGTGAGACCATTGAAATCCCACCGTGCCTCGTAGAAGGAAAATGTATTGCAATAACAATAACCCCGTCTAGGCTGGCAACGCTGTGCTCGGATTTGTTTCGCAGAATCATTGTACCAATCGAGGAAGTACTAGAAGATGCCGGTTTGACTGCACTTGATGTTGCGGATGTCATCATAATAGGATGCGGGCGGTTCGTTCCACAGCTCACCGATGTCTTAATGGAGGTCCTACCACCGGCCCATATACATGCGACCATTGATCCAAGGATCGCCGTTGCGGAAGGAGCTGCGCTGATGGCATCAAATTTGTTGAGTGGAAATGAGACAAGCATCGAAATAAAAGAGTGGTTCGAATGCCAGTTTAGGGCGCAAGCTACGTGAGTATTGCTAAATTCTATTTATTAAAGAAATGTTATGAATCTGATAGCTTGATAATGCCTTGCTCAGGAAACAATCGCGTCTGATCAGTTCGGCCGCGTTACATCTCAGGTATTTCCTATCATTTCAGGCAGCGCTTATTTCGGCTTGTTCTCAATTCGGCCAGCATTCATTTCGACCACCGCTCCTTTCGGCTGCTACGTTTGTACGGCTCTTACCATTAGGATTTCTAGGTTTTTCATATTTCTTATGTTTTCTTATGCTTTCTTATGTCCTCTTATGTCTTCTCAAGTTTTCCTTTGTTTCTTCTGTTTCTTTTTTTCTGCTGTATAGGGCTGGTACAATCGCATGCTTCGGTCATTTGCAAAGCAATTGGAAACATTATTATATTCGGTGTGAGAAAAACTCGATGCATAAAGTATAAATTGTAAAGTAAGCTAATGCGTCGAAGGATGTGGTGGTCTTAAAACGTGATTATCAGCAAATTTCGAACTAAAAGACAACTCCGGTGGGATTGTGTTTTGTGGGCAAGTGGGTGTAAACGGAAGTGAGTCTGCCAAAGTAACGCGCCAGAAGTGAATGGCAAAAACGTTTCGGCCGAATTGAGCAACGCCGAAATGAAAACGCGCATGGTGATCGATGATCGAAAGCAGTCATATTTAACCGACGTGACCCAAAGGCCTTAGAGCTACCGATCACGTTCGCCGTTTATATTTTAAAGATCTAAGAAATAAAAAAACAGGAATTCTGTCACACAATTCTAGAAGTGGCAGCCGAATTAAGCATGAGAAGAAATGAACATTGGCAGAAGTGTTCTTGATCTGACCGAAATGTACCGCGGTCTAAATGAACAAAACGCGCTCGAAATCACAATAAGAGAAGCACACTTTGACAAGCCCCATCACGTTGCGGCGAGATTTTACAGGGTTTCAGCAGATCCTGCATTGCTTCTTTGCGCTTCAATGGTTTGGTTTTCAATTTGCTATACTGCGTCTCAGCTTGCGGCTGTTTATCGCCATAAGAGCCTCGGCTAGTCGTTCAAAAGCCTCCTTTTGAAAACAGTGTCACCGGCGGCTACGCGCGTTTCATCGGAAAGCAACTATTGAGGCAAAACCACAGAAAACCAACCACCCGATACTAAGGAAATTGCTAATGTAAACTTGTACTGTATTTTCCCAAGTTTAAAGAACGCTCCGGGGGCCGGCCGCGCGCACGGGTTGTCGGCCCCTTTGAGATCAAGTAACCGACGGTCCGGCCACGCTGGTCACTGCCCCACCATGTTCCATAAAATTGTGAAAACATTCACAAAAGAAATGGCCCATACCACGTTCGTCAACAATTAGGGCCCGCGCTTAAGCTCTGACTCTGACCAAGTCACCAAGACTAACGTCTCAGATTCTGACTAGAAACCACTCAAACTCTATTAAACTGCCTAATCTTTGACTCAGCCCAACAAAACGCACACGATCAACAAACTTGGTGTTTTCTACACGTATGGTCGTTTGATTCGGTCACCATGTTAAAATGGCCCGGTACATATCGTCCAAATGGTACATACACAATGCTTTCGCTTGCGCGCCTCGAAAACTTTTTTGCATATTTTATGTCATTCTAAAGCTAAATGATTGTATACATTGTTCAGACAACCGTTTGCGCGCGCAACATCCGGTTGCCGAGATATGGTGAAACAAAATGGGCAAAAGCTTTGTCGTGTACCAAAATTAAAGACACATGACCATAAGGTCGAAAGTGAACTAATATCTGATTTACAGCATTTTTTTCCGATTTTAAAATGATTTTGAAAAATTTTAAAATTCATTTTAAAATTATGGAAAAGTGCTATGAACCTGAAATTGGTTCACTTTCGACCTTATGGTCATGTGGCTTTTACAGCAAAGTTTCGAAAAGATCGGGTAATAACCAGACTTTTGGTACACTACAATGCATTTAAACTTTTTGACCGTTTTGTTTCACCATATGTCGGCAACCGGATGTTGCGCGCGCAAACGGTTTTCAGAACAATGTAAACAAATCATTTAGCTTTAGAATGACATAAAGTATTGCAAAAAAGTGTTTCGGAGTGCGCGCAAGCGAAAGTTTTAGTGTATGTATACCATTTTGGACGCTATGTACCGGGCCATTTTCCTTAATTGAATGAGCGGTGGCTGTTGGAGTGGGCCACCTGAAATAATAAAGTTTTGGGGTAATGCCACTACAGTTCACGACAAAATACTTTTGTCATTACAGTGCACATCCCAGTTTGGGTAATGGCACTAAGGCAGATTTATGATTTGTAATGAAATAACAAAGATAAGAATAACATTAAAACCTGCGTTGGACTTAAATGATGACAAAATAAGACTAACCAAACAATAATATAGGGATAACATAAGAAATGACGCAAGCATAACATACGAGTAATATGAAAAGCATAAGACAACAGCATAAGAACAATATAAGGAACATAGGGCAAAAATAACTTAAGATTGGCTTATGTATAACACAAAAGAAGGGATACATATGAAAACTGACAGAATGGTTTTGCCAGAGTGCGTTTTTCTATGCTGGGTCAGAGTTCGAAGGGTCAAATTTTAGCATTAGGAGTCAAAGTTTTAGAAATCATTGTCAAAGTTTTAGCGTTCAGAACCAGAATCACAGCTTGAGCGCTGGCCGGCAATCAACGCTTCGCTGACCATGAAGTCTCTGTAAAAGTTCTTTGTGTCAAAACATTTACTTGTGCTTACAGGTTTTTCGGTAGACGATTGGCCCCGGACGGCCCTCTTCTTGTGAATGTGAAATTCTATATCTCCCCTGGACACGTACTGACCATTGCAGCTGCGCAAGAGTGCAGAGAATTTCGCAGCTTACACCGACAGCGCAATCCGACAAACTTGGCGTCTTTAGGTTATGGAGCATTCGATGAAGAGAAAAAGCAGAAAGCGAAAACATCTTTGAAAGAAGCACTGGACAATGCGAAACGTGATGTGGCGTATAATGATCCTGTACGAAGCGCTTGGATAGAAGTCATATCGATGTGGTTTTGTGCCACACAAGATTTATTGCTACCTGTGACGGATTACAAGAGATGGTCGCAAATGCTGGGGTTATCTCTATGGTTTATAATAAAAGAATAGAGGAGTTGTGGTCAGCGTGTCTGCGCATCCATCCCGAACGAGACACTGGATCAGTCTTTAAGCTCTACGAGGACATTTGGGTGCAGTGAACATACCCTGCACGATTAGACTGCGATGAACAGCCGGCTAAATTTATAGCCGTTTCCATTCAGACTGTGATATCAGTAGCGTTGCGAGCTACGGCTAACCAGCTGTTCATCGCAGCCTAATCGTGCAGGGTATGTTCACAGCACCCAAATGTCCTCGTATATATTATTCGATAGCCATAATTTGGTAGGTTTTTACAAATTCAGTTTGATTTGAGAAAACGAATACGTTTTAAAGAAAACTCTGGGAAACCATACTATACAAAGTCTACGGAACAATGCAGCAGCCAATCAGAAAAATCAGAAATTCCTGAGAAGCAAGTTGGTGGTTAGTAACTGCCTTCATGAGCGGTATGCTTGATTTTAACGTGTTAGCCCGTCCATGGGGGAGGACAATATTTACTGTTGCACAGCAAATACTGTACTGGCTGGCAGGCTGCTACATCAGAAAGCGGCTGTCAGTGCCCTGAGCGTGAATAAAGTTCAACCTCTCCCACTCGCATTGTTTTCCTACGTGAAAATTCATTGACTTCATTTAATTTCACCTATGGCCCATTGTCGTACCACTCTATGAAATCGGCCCCTTTTTTTGTTGATTGTGTTCCACGTATTCCTATGTATCCCACACGTATTCTGTCTGTATTCACGTTATGTTCTCCACTATTTTGCTTTTGCAAGTACGTCTGACTACGTTTTCCGCAGCTGTATAATACCGTATTCCCACGTATTCTACCCGTATGCTGTCCGTGTTGACAATGTATTCTTCGGCTTCTTAGGTTCCTTAGGTTTTTAACTAGAACAGTAGGGAATACGTGGTGAATACTGACTGAATACTTGGGAATGCGCTAATATGCTGCAAATAGACAGTAGTCACAGAGGTTAGATAAGCCAGTTATGGAATACTTTAGAGATACAGGCAGAATACAGGTAGCATACGTGGGAATACGGGCACACTAAACAGACATATTAATCTCGCCATTATAATCAAGATACCGTACCTTTACTCGTACCTTTACTCTTTAGCTGTATTCACACATATTTCATCCGTATTCTGCCTGTACTACTACTGTAATCGCGAGGGATTTTCCTTTATATAGCTTTAATTTAGACATGACTGACTGCTGTTTTCTTTAGTGCGCCCCCGTATTCTCCCGTATTCCGCCTGTATTTCTCATGTATTCTTTGGTTTCCGAATTAGAAAACTAAGAATACGCCTTGAATTTGGGAAGAATACAGGCGGAATACGGGAGCCCAATTAGCGAATAGAGAAATCATACGGTCGGCACAGGGAGGAATACGAGGCGAATACAGTACGAATACAGGGAGAATACGTAGGAATACGTAGACTACTGCGAAGAAATGATATGGTCGGTTTTATGGAGTGGTACGAAACGTGCCATATCTATTTAATTTTAGTAACAAAGAATGTATTTCTGGACTATTAACCGAAGGCGGATAAGCAGGCGACGCCCAGGTGCGGCGATCGGAGCTCGCGGAGCAGCACAGCACGGCGTCGATGATTTCGAGATCACTTGCTGCTTACATCGCAGCTCATTTCTGTTTTGCAATGCTAGCAGTCTCAAGCAGACTTTTCTCTTATCGCGGCTAGCTTATCGCTGTTAGCCTTGCTCTACTGTCTCTCAAGCCGGATCTAGGTCATGACTGTTTCAGCCATTGACCGAGCATAATCTCTGCAAGAGCTTCCCGTTTCCGCACACGGCACGCGACACAGCTCTAGTCGGCATCAACCGGTACACGTAGGAAGGGATCCCAGCAACAGCGTCATCCCTTCCTCCGGGGAACCACCTTACTCAGATAAGTGTAACCCGATTCCCGACTACAGCTGCGGAGTCCGACGACAAACAAAGCCATCAGTCTAGCTACTCCGACTGCGTAAAGGATTACAGCAAAAACAGGTCAGGCGCGCCTATTTTCGACGGCAGGCCAGTGACCACCTCCGGCAGCGCCCCCTCTCCGACGGAACCGACAGTCACCACCTTCGGCAGTGCCTATCCCCGACGATACGCCGGCCACAAGCCTGGTAGCGCCCAATTCAGAAGGCACACTAGCCTGGCA